CCACCGAAATATCCTCACCCGCTGGCTTGAAACTGCCACCGAAATATCCGCTATAGATAGACTGTTAGACATTTCTCAACTGCCTGACTTACCCCCCGACTGCGCCAACATCCGCTCTGCGCACATCGACATAGTGGATCATCCGTGGTATAACGCTGTGACCCGAGGCTTACCCCCTCCCCCCATACAGCCACCCACACCCCGTGCGACCCCGGTCTAACCACCGCACTTCATCAACCTGAAATGTCGCTAATGTGTACGTTATTTCAGTGCGTCCCCCCCCTCCCCCCCCCCCCCCCCCCCCCCCCCCACCCCCAGGCTGAAATAAAACTGCCACCGAAATATCCTCACCTGCTGGCTTGACACTGCCACCGCTCGATAACACTCGATAACACATCGATAACAATTCATGCTATCGAGGTGTCATCGAGTGGTATCGAGGTGCTCTCGAGCGTTATCGAGCTCGATCACACTCGATAGCACCTCGATAACGCCTCGATAACATCTCGAACACATCTCGAAAACATGTTATCGAGGTGTTATCGGGTGTTATCGAGGTGTTATAGAGCGGGTGATGGTCACCCGCTGGCTTGAAACTGCCACCGCAATATCCTCACCCGCTGGCTTAAATCTGCCTTCGAAATATCCTCACCCGCTGGCTGAAAACTGCCACTGAAATATCCTCACCCGCTGGCATAAAACTGCCACCGAAATATCCTCACCCGCTGGCTTAAAACTGCCACCGAAACATCCTCACCCGCTGGCTTAAAACTGCCACCGGAATATCCTCACCCGCGGAAATAAAACTGCCACCGAAATATCCTCACCCGCTGGTTTAAAACTGTCAACGAAATATCCTCACCCGCTGGCTTAAAACTGCCACCGGAATATCCTCACCCGCGGAAATGAAACTGCCACCGAACTATCCTCACCCGCTGGCTTAAAACCGCCACCGAAATATCCTCACCCGCGGAAATAAAACTGCCACCGAAATATCGTCACCCGCTGGCTTGAAACTGCCACCGAAATATCCTCACCCGCTGGCTGAAAACTGCCGCCGAAATATCCTCACCCGCTGGCTTAGAACTGCCACCGAAATATCCTCATCCGCGGGAATAAAACTGTGACCCAAATATGCTCATCTGCCGGCTTAAAACTGCCGCCAAAATACCCTCACCCGCGGAAAT